TAACATCCCATTCACCCAGTCGTACTCGAAGATCTTGACTGGAGTAAGCTTTAATGCAGTGTGCTGCTGTAATTACAGCACGTAGCGAAATTAAGGTTCCACCACATATGTAAACACTTTCTTTGTCTTCTCGTTCTTTTTTTAAAATAGCTGCTTGCCAGGGATATTCACCTTTATTAAAATAATATTATTAATCTCTGAAATATTTTATTTTTCAACTTCTTTAAAATTAATTTACCGAATTCTGATTCTCCGTCAATATAATCAGGAGTTTTTATTCGTCCAGCAATAACTTCATTGTATTTTACACCACACTGTTCATCTCGATTAGGAAGATTATTTTCTAAATAAAGTTGATGACGTCTACAACAAATTTTTTGTGGTCCACAAATCGAAGATCTTTCAATTTGGCGCTAAAATGATAAATGATTTCATAAATAATTAATTATTTTGAAACAGGTAAATTTTACAATAAAATTAAATATTAAAATTTATAGATATGATATTATGTTTTACAAAATTAAACTACAATTACAAAAAAATAGTTAACATATATGTCTAGTATTAGACTTAAAAACTCCCAGGTGTTCGGTGGAAGGATTGCGGGCAAGAGGAAGGGTTAGTGCATGTATTGAATAATTAACAAAGTTGCGTATCTTGCTGTTTTCTCCTCTATTTACAGACTACACAATGAATATGATTCTAAGATGGTGTTGAGAATCTGTGAGTTCTTGCAGTTTGGTGGTAATTGTCACGTGGCGTTAGCATGCACTACATACAGGGGTAGAAGATTGTAAAACTTCTGATCCTTGACCTAGCGTACTCGATAGTAAATGGTTACACTGAATGTAAGTGAATCTTTAGTACTTCTTCATGTAATATTGTGTAATATCGTGTAATATCGTTTGTTGGAGCTATACGATTGTATAATGCCTATTTCGGTGGGTGCACTCGCACCTTCAAAACCTTACAAAGCTGGCGTGTAAGTGCATTCAATAAATGATTTTTTTCTATTAATTAATTTCACGGAAATTTTATTTGTCTTACCGAATTCTGTAATGAGCGCGCAGGTGTTACGCTTTTTATTTCCTGATCTTTCTTGGAATACAATCAGCACTCATGATTGCTTGAACTATAGCGTACTTAAAACAGTTGTTAAATATATTCAGTTCACTGTATTTAGCTTACTAGCTTATTGTTGCTGAGTCTGGACAATTATCTATGTATAATGAGTAAAACTACGTGTATGAACCTGTAATATCGCGTAATATAGTTGCTGTATAGAGTGATAACTGATAACTAATTGATTAAGAAATTGACCGTGAGCCTACAAACCTATTGAACATGCATACGAAACTGAAGACTTATTCATTCCGTGGCGGTTTTGCTGAGAGTTGTTTACTGCGTGAGTTCATTGCACGAGTTTTTGCTATAGAGTTTCAATGCTAGAGAGTGACGCTCGTCGCGTGCTTGCCTTATATATCTACGCGGCAGCTTACTTAGCCAGCAACAAAGCATCGTTGTTGCTGCACTGGAATCTTACGTAAGGAGCAGAAGGAAAAATCTAGAAGATTCGAGAATTGTGAGAAAATACAAGACCTAAGAAATTTGGAGAATTCCAAGCGACATTACTACGCGAAGCCCATATAAAACATTGCAGGGAATTTGAAACCAAAACATAACAAGTACTCGAAAATTCTTGTACCCAAGTGTTTACATAGACTTGAGAGCTAGAGGGACTAGCGATGCCGAGAGCCAACAGTTTTGAAAGTTGCTTCAATCCCGAACAATATACATGTTTATTTGCTATATTACTATAACAGTTACTATATAGACAACACACTAAGTTGTTATTCTATTTTTCAATATATTATATTTTTAAAAGTGCAATTATTAAACATATAGTGTTCATTATTGAAATGTTATGTAAATATCTTTCGAATCTAATATTAGACTCTGAAACATAATAATGAATAGTAAAAATATAAATTACTGATGGATGTCTGATTTTTTTTATACAATTAAAAGTAATTACAAAAAATTATATTAATAATTAATTTTCCAATCAAGATTTTAATATAAACTATTTACATATGTTCAAATACTATTAATATTTAAGAGTTTATATTTTGAATTGATTTTTTTGGATAAATTGATTTTTTAACAGATTTTTTTTCTATATATTGCAATTAACGATCTAATTTATAATACTTTATTTATAAGATTGCAATATTGTAAGATAATAAATTTATATATGGATTCTTTTTATAACTGAAAGATTTAGTAGAATTATAATATGAATATTTATTGAATATATTATTAATTATGTAATATTGAAACGCTACTCAATTTTTTTTCGTTATATTAAACTAGATAGTTTATATTAATTTTAAAGAAAAAATTAATTTAACAAAAAGTAAATACAATTTTTTCGTAAAAGTTTTAATTAAATTCAATTATATCTTAGTGATTTATAGAATAATATAAAATATATTTATAAGCTATATAAGATGTATAAGTTATATGTAATTAGAAGTCTGAAAATTGGACGTTAATTTTAAAAATATACTATTTGGTTTCAGAAACTACGGGAAGATGTTTATTATAAACCTATTATGTATAGTCCTTGGACTCTTAATATCGAATCTATATTAAGTATAAAATAACACATTTAAGAATACTTATCACCATATGCTTATCATCATATTTTCTTACACTATAACTATCACATTAGTAAAGTATTAGAGAGACGCTTTAACAAAATAATGGTAATTTATATTATTAAAATTAAATAATTCAAATTATTATTGATTATGTATACAGACATTACCCTTATGCGTGAATGGTTTAATTTTTGAACTACAATTATTGAAAAAAAAAAAATTAAATATAACAAAGAAAAATTTCTTGCTAGAACCTTATCAAACTAATTTTTCATCGTCATTCTTCAAGTATGTTAAATAATGTTTCATTTTAGTTATCCGTACTCATATTAATCAAGTGCTTTTATACGATTTGTAAATACAATTCTTCTTCTTGAAAATATTGCTGGATCATGAACGAAACAGACATGACTTGATAAAACATTGCCTATTCAATCTAGACATGTTTATAAATATATTGAGTTTTAATAAATTGACATTATTACTGTATAATGGCTACAACGAAAATTAAAAATATTTATTCAAAATATTTATAATTTTTTACTATTTATAATGTTAGTAATTCGTCTTAAATGTGTGATAGACTACAATTAAACTAAATAAATCATTCACTATACATATAAACGATACAATCATACAAATAAACGAAATCAAACATAAATATTCTTATGAATAAACTCAATAAAAATTTACATTTCTCATATTGAACTTTAATACCGTTGACTTATATTTTTCCATCATTTAAATTAAAAAAAATCTTTATACATACCATTGTTTATACTGATATCACAATATATATTATATATCTAATTATTATAATATTTTATGAAATAAAAATATATAATTTTTATATTAAATACGATTTATATATATTGATGTAATATAAAACTGAATATTGAGGAATTTTAATTTGAAAGCATTGTGGTATCATATGAATGCATATGTTAATACTATAAACTGATCTATTATTCTAATAAAAAATATTTATAATTTTGAAATCTACAATATACATCTTCATTTCAAAACTAATGTTGTCCCATTTAGAATAATATGTCTTGATTTGTGAATATCACATAAAAATTAGATAAAATTATTATCACCAATAGAAAGTGTTATATATATATGATTTCTTTAACTACAAAATATATTTTACAATTATTAATACCAGGGTAATATATATATATATATATATATGTATATATAACGAATGTGATCGTAATTCTCTGATACGTATTTTTATGTTTACGTGTACATAATGAATACGATAAATCGTGTGTAAATATATGTATTAAAATTACTTTGAGGTAATTATATTCGATATGAGTCATATAATAAGCATAGATGAAAAAATAAAAATAAAAAAATAAAAATATAAGTGTAATTGAAAATTAGCAAATACAAATAGAAAAAAAGATAAAAATCAAATAATACTGACGTCTAAAGACATATATTATATTTAATGTGAAGGACAAATATTTTTGTTAAAAAATCAAAACTAAGTTCAAGTAACTCAAACCCGTGAATAATCGTTAATTTTAGTTATTTTATCTTAGATAATTAAGTTATCTTTGACCAGAAGTACTTTGTATTTATGACTTGAGACATTTGTAGATAGAAATCGTTTGAAGCTTTTTTGCAATTACAAATGCAGGATCTAAATTTAAACATTATATATCAATCTGTTTCACGATGACGTAGCTTAGTCGTTGATGGTCATTAGTTAGTGTTTATATCCGAGATATTGATTGAATTAAAATGGTGGATCTTTAATTTCTTCTTAAAAAAGATATTCTTAAGGTATTTTCTCAAAAATTTGTTTAGAGATGATTGATTTAATAATAGTTTTGTAAGGTATGTATATGCCAGGAATTGATAAAACTATCTTAATAAAATTATATTTGCACAAATCGATAAAATTATAAATAATTGGTGAGATTCTTTTCGTGAATAGATTATTATTTTTTGACATTGGTTTTATAATTTGCTCATTTCTACTTTTATGAATAATGTTTTTATGTTTTATAAAACATTACTGCGTTATAACTAATCGCGAAAATATTTATTATTATATAGTTATAAATTTTTGTATGAATATAAGATGAGCAAAAGCAATATAATTACACGTAGTTATTTTTATAATATGCATATACATCTACTTACATATATATAAAGTATGAAATAAAAAGTCTTCAACCGACAAAGGTTTGCCTTCCGACAATTGACACAAATTTCTGGAACTAAAAATCTAACGGCACGCGGGAATTTTCGGCATAGCAACACTAAACGTGTTACCGACAGGCTCAACAACAACCGCTCGCATATATTAAGGGCAGCGCACGTCGAAGCAAATCAGTCTTGTTGAGTGAGTCTAGAAGAAATAGTGTAAGTCACATCTAAGCGAAGATCTACACGTTTGTCTACGGGGATCCGTGCAAGGTGTACAATTTATTAATTATCAATTTATTGCTGTCCAGCACAAAGCGCTCGCGGTGAACCCTCTGCAACTTGATTCTTATCAAACGGCTACGAGGGCACTGCCATTTACCGTGCCCCCCCCCCCAGCAAACTAATTATCATTTATTGCTGTACGGTGCAAATCGTTCGCAGTAAGCCTTCTGCGACTTCGAATCTTATCCAGACTGCTACGAAGGCGCCGCCATTTGCCATGTGCCTCTAGCATGGATAATTATCATTTATCTAGTTGACGCAATCACTCACTATCTACCTACAACGAGACTTGTCCAATTATATCGCTAAGGAGCTCCGCCATTGACTACGCGTCTCCAGAGAACTTAATTCTCACATCTACTGCAGAGAGGCGCTGCTACTAACAAACACCCCTGCAGAGAGAAAAGTTTTCGTAATACTACCACGAGGGTGCTACGACTTGCCACACGCCCGCAGGTCAAACCAGTCTCACCATGCACACCCAGACGACACCCTGTAGTTTCTCTGCCAACTGTCAAGATCACGACAACCTCAACAATACTCACAATTAACGGTGAAACATTGATCAAATTGTGACATAACCTTAAATAAAAGTCATGAAAACCAATTGTGCTTATACTGAATTGATGCAATAACCTCTTACTCATCCTTCCCCCCCCTTCCACGATTAAACCGGTGATATGGTCTAATCCAACCATCTTGGTCTCCTGACCACATCGGGTGGACGGAATTCCAAACAATAACCTAATAACATGATTTATGTATTGAATATAATTGTATTGTGGTGATATATATGATGAAATATATCTCAGAATCGATTATTTAAATGCAATGCTTGAAGTAACAATGCTACTTTGATATGTATGATATACAGATTGTAAATTATATTTAAGAATGTGTTTTATTTGTTAGATTAAGATAGAGTTTTGACTTTAAAACTGACCTAGCTTACTCCTAACTTATAAAAGTGACATTCTTGGTGTGATAGTTTATATTTGGTTAAAATGAATTATCCTAAAACACTAATAACTACTATTTAAGTGATATAATTATATTTTGTTTTGTTTTATGCTCGCTATCCTAATGTTTTAGAGTAACTATTAATTAATTGACTTTATGCTTAGTGATGTTGAGAATTGTCGTTGCGACTAAGTGACATTATAATGGTTGAGAGTGTACAAAATGCAAAATAATATTTGTTAAAACCAAAAGAATTACTTAAATATAAATACAAATGACTTTTTGTACAGAATAAATTGACATTATAATTAAAAAAATTCATTTATTAAAAAATTGAGTGAATTGCTTTTTACTGTTATCAATGCTGCAATTATTAAAATAATTCAAGAATTATACCTTTTAAAATAATAATTGGTTTAAAAGATATAAATAATAATAATTAAAAAATTAAGAAATGTATTTCCTATTCATTACATTAAAATAATATATTAAAAACTTACACTCTGGATGTTATCATTTTCTTTATTGTTTATAGATTTATTCACATTTCTTGTTATTCTTTGTTTTTCAAAATATTTTGTTTCTTTATTTTGGATAACTTCTTTATTTTCATCAGATGTTTTTATTTTTTCATTTTTATTATTCTGTAATTTAGTAGTATTTTTGTTTTTTCCTAAACGTGAAATATTTATAGTAACATCATTATTACTCTTAATTAAATCTTTTGAATCAGCTGCAATATTTGTACCAAGATTACGCGGGTCGATCGCTAAATAAAGGTCGTCTTTACGACCAGCTTTACCAAGCATAATACATTGTTCATAAAGAACACATATACAGTCATTGTAATTTGTTTTTGATAATCCATTTGCAGCAGCATTTTTTTGCCCGAATTCATTGTTGAATCCAAAATTATTATTCACATTAAATTCTTTACTTACTTCAAAGTTCTTATTTCCATAATAATTGTTAAATTTATTTAATGGTTCTATCTTGTAACTGAAATTTTTATTATTTGTTAACCCTCTTTGTATGTTTATTTTATTTAAAACAGAATCGTGCTTTAGATTTCCATATAAATGATAACGATCAGCATAATTATTATTTAAAGAATCTCCAAGAAAACTATTATCAGGTAATAAGTTATTTTTTTTTTTATGTTCTTCGTAGTAATTATATAAACTACCAATATTTTCATGGCCATTGTTATTGAAAGCATTATTATTTATTAACCCAGATCCAATAATTGGGACAATGCCTTCCTTTGCATCATTATGATGAAAATGATGGTGAATATGTTGTTGAATATTAGAATCAGGTTGTATTATTATTTCTTTTTTATTAATAAATTTATTGTCATAATTAAAATCTTTGTCAAATCCAATTTCATATACTGGCTTAACGTTATAAATGGTAGAGGATTGTTCATTAGTAGGATTAATAGAACTGCTTATTAATGGTTGTTGTTTAATAAATGACGAAAGATTATGAATGTTGAAACTTGTTAATGGAGGGGTTAATCCTAAAAATACTGTATTATATCCAATTCTGCCCGGTTTATAATCGTTGAAATTTTCAGGATCATTTACGGGAATAACTGGTACAGGTATGCTTAATGGTTTAGTTCTGACTGATTGTATATAAACATTGTCTTGAGGATGAATATCCCGACGAGATAGATATTGTGGATCACTTTCATTTAGATTGTTGCACTAGAAAATTTTCGAATACATTTAAATAAATTTTGCTTTAAAATACTTATAAGAATAAAAAATAATACTAAACAGTATGCTTACATTCATTAAACCAAGTGAGCACAGTTTATTTTGTATATATGTTCGAGAAAGAGTATTGTTTTTAAGTTTCAATACATTTTTTACTTCGGGATCATCGTAGATTGCAGCATAATTGTTAAGATTACGTCCCTGCTGGTTTGAAATAAGTATATCATTGATTACAGATTCAGTCTAAAATAAATATTAATTGATGTTTATAAATAAATTCATTTAATTTTCATTTTATCATATTTATGACATTTTTATATTATGTTATACCACTTACTAATTGAAAATCAGATGATTTAGTAGTACGGATTGACTGTTGTTCATTAATTTTTTTATTATTAGAAACAAAATATAAGGAATGTAAAACATCATTTGAATTATTTTTCGAAGATGAAGAAAAATCTTTTGTATCATATAGTATTTCTGTAGCTAAAGCATGTGTTATTGAGTACATGAAAATTGAATATCTTAGCCACATATTTTCTGAAATTTTAGTAATTTATTTTTATTATTTTAATTAGTTCATCTTATTAATGAAAATTTATAAAATGAATATTTTCATACAAAAATTACTTTCAATATTTATCGTATATTTAAAACTAATCAAAATTTTTATAATAGATAATAAAATTAATAGTATAAAAGTTTAGAAAAATAATTATTTTAACTCGAATTATTGTAATATAATAAATTATTAAATAATGTTAGGTAATAATTTTGATAAATATCAGCATAAAAATTATGGATATTAAATGTGGAGAACAATGGAAATAATATTCAAAGAACAGTTTTTAATTTTTTTTGTTTATGATTCTGTAATGGACTGAATTTTATAACTAAATACTATTTTAAACTAAATAATATTTTATAATCGAAAATAGGTTTGTATTATTTCAAACGAGTTCTTATAAACATTAATATATATTTATAATATATTATATTATGAATTTTGAATAATTACGTGATAAAACATATATATTTTGTATTATGTATAAAAACATTTGTTTTATCCAATAAAGGAACAATTTTATATAAAAATAAAACACAATAATAAAAATGTTATTTTTTCATCAATATAAATATAAATTATATATATATAAATATTCATTTTGGTATTTTGTTAAAAATCGTAAATAACATAAATTTGAAAATATCTCATCTCAGAATTGGATAAGATAGGGATTATTTTAAAAGTTACCATTTATACACGAAATGTTATTAAATGTAACCAATTTTTATGGTAACGCGATCATACAAATTAACTTCAAAAATTAAATAAATTGAAAGTATCAGTTTAAAAATTTTCAAAATAACTTATCAATCATAATAATTTGTAATAAAACAACATTTGCATTTTTATTTAAAGTATAGTGACATATATAAGTTTTTTTCGTATTTATTTTTTTATTTTATATTTTTTTATTTAAAATTATCATTTGCAAGAAAATACTTTTCATTTAACGGCATAATAATTTACGTTGTTATTCAATAATGGCATGGTCAGCTCATTTATGCTTCGAAGTTTAGTTATTTATCACCGTATTCAGTTAATGTTAATTGTCGCTTTCGGTTAGAATTAATTAAAGATAAATAAGACTGAATAGAAGTAGTATAAGTACATCTTTAACCATTATTTCTGATTAATTGCATCACAATAAATTTAGTTTTTCTATTATTGTAATGGATGTATGGAATTTATTTATTCTATTGTACATTTTTAATTTATATATGTTTATAAGTATCACAATAGTGTTGAGATAATGTCTTACGAGAGTAATAGCATAATATGATTGAGTAGCAATTTCAGAAAATCCGGAAAAATTAATAATTAGAAATTGTTTTAAGAGCTAGTATATTACTGCTTTACTTCCCAGTTAGCTAGTTTTATTTATTTACAGTACGAATAAAAGATAGTATACTCTTCTCTCTTTTCTTTTATATTAATCAGTTCGTATACTACCTTTTATGGCAATGTGTACATGAGACTTAATGGCTTTGGAAAGATTTCTCGAATCATCGTATAATAATTTTTTAGCTATGACACTTTCATATTTAGCTATTGTAGGCCATTATTCTATATATAATATATTACTATTGGTTTGGTATTTGTATATCTGATTATATTATTTATTAGTACTTTATGTAACGTTTTATTGTTCGATAGTAAATATCTTCGTCCTCTTTCGGTTTAATTAGGTAATATACTATAGTTATGCGTGGTAAGTTGGAAATAGACGAGCGGCCTATAATTATGCTTAAATATGAGTGTATAGATTGTTGTTGCAATATTAACGCGTTTGGAAATCTATTCATAGACATTTGGCTTTCTTTAGCCAAATTTGTGAATATATATTAAAAATAATTAATTTTTATATAAAGTTTAAATATTTATACACAAAATGTGAATTATATTGAAATATAATGCATATAAAAATTTGTAAGTTTATTTATTATAATTATAATGTTATAAAGTAAAAAAAAATCTACAAATGTTTTATATATTAAAACTACATTTTCAATATAGCTGGTTGAATTTGTATTAAATAAATTAAAGATATTCAATTATTTGTAGTTTTAAAGTATTGCATTATTGAAATCATAGTTTTAAAAATCATATATAGAAAATAAAATTTAATACGTATCTATAAAATTTTTTAATAAATGTAACATTATCGACTATTTTGAAAATTAATCAATAACGCTAATTAATATTTTATTAATAAGATTCACAGAACGGGTCTTGTATAAAATAAGACTTGATAATAAATTTAATTTAATGAATACAAGATAATGCGGTTTGTACGAAATTAAAACAAAGTGAAAGGAAGAAAGAGAAAGTAGTTGAGAAAGATTCTTTCTATATGCATCGATGTCGTTAGTTTTTAGCTATTAGTTTTTTTTTAGTTTAATATTTTATTCATTTTTTTTATTATTTACATCTGTATAACTAGATTTAAATCAGGATTTAAAAATTTTACTAATGAATAATCATTAAAAATTTATAATTTATTTTTATAATTTTCAACTTACTATTAATATTCTTATTTTTAAAAAGTTCTTATATAGAATCTTATAGTAGCAAATGAAAATAATAATACATTATCATTAATAATTATTTATTAAATTAAATTCAATAATATAGTTCAATAATATATATACTACCATAGTATGCTAATAAAAGTATTGCTATATTGTAAATAGTAAATTTTTAGAATGGAAAAAGAAAAAAATTGCGGAATTTTTTAAAAATCATAATAAATAGATTAATTATTTTCTTTTTACTAAATAAAAATAAACATAAATAATTATAATTTAAAAAATTATTTAAATTAAGTTGTAAGATCCTAACGTAAGTACAGTAACATACAACAATTTTAAAAAACTTTTTACACAAAACTATTCAATAACATATATATTAGATGTAAAAAGTAAAAAATAATATTCGGTTTTAATATTTTAATATGATTTTTAATATTTCATTTATCTCTAAATAAAATTTCATAACTTTATATATTTTAATCGTCAGAAAAACAATTGGTTGTTTGAAACCAATGCAAATTAAAAAGTTAAATTAATCTAATGTTTTGAAAATTAAAGTAATTATACATTTTATATCATTATATATATATATATATATAGTTCATAGAAAGTTGCAATATTTTACAATTCAAGATTTTACTACAAAGTTTAGTCAAATGATTATTAAAATTTTCAAAAATTTAAATTAAATTATGGTATGATTTTAGTATACTTAAAAATTACGTCAGTGATTTTATATTAATTGGATAGCTATGTAGTATAATAAACTAAATTGCAATAAAATGTGTATAGCGATCTTCAATAACTGATAATTGCGATATGAAATTGTCAAATATTTTAATGTAAGCAAAGAAATCGTCAGACACGTCTCACCTGCTTTTAGATTTCTCCCAATACACTGAGTTTCTTTAAGAGC